TGTTGGCTTTAGGGATACAAAATTGGTGACAAACTCAGTCTGATCTGGCGGATCAGCTTTGCTGACGGCGAGTTCTTCTTGGGTGACTGGCTGCTTCTCAGTTTCTCCAACTCCGACTTCGCGCCGAATCTGATCGATCAACACAAATGCCATGTCATTTCTGATCATTTTACTGCACCAGCCGAAATATCACTTTCATACAGTACAGTCTACTACTTGAGCTTCTTGCAACTACATGGGATGCTACCGCACAAGGTATCTTCTCAAATGCGGCGTTCTCATCCCTGCTTCTTCAAAGTCAAACATCTCCCTTCAAGCACCCAGGACTTGGGGCCTGGCTCAGAACAAATTCTTTCTTTGAGAAAGAGAAAAGCCAATAACAAAGTACTCCTAGAATACTGCAGTCATGCAAGTTCGTGACTTCGTGCCCATTCTTGAAAACGATTGCGAACCACCCCCTTTACCGAATACCTTTAACCCGAACGCTAAATCTGACCTGGTTGAAACAATACGCGGTCCAGCTTGCTCAAGGCTCTCTTATCCTCGCGAAAGCCTAGTTTCTCACTGGGAATATCTTGCGGTAGCACTCCATTCTTGGTTCCGCCCGGGCTCGTACTTTCTTGCCGGTCCGCTTCGGCCTCGTTTTGAGTTTGGTCTGCAGGAGGAACCTTCGTGTTGATATTGTGGACGAGTGCGGTGATAGTGGGCGCCTGACTGGCACTCACAGTTGTGGAACCAGAAGGTTGCGCTCCGGACGGATTCTCTTCATTCTTGCTGTTGGCACCGTTGGTCTGGGTATCGCCTCCATTAGGAGTGGCAGTCAGCCGCGGATCTATTTGTAGCCCAGCGCCAGCATTTTCGTTAGAAACTTCGGGAGCTTGTTGATTTACAGGTGGAGCAGGGCTAGACTGGTACAGCGGCGGAGGAGGTTGGCTGACAGTGTATGTGGGCAGTGGGGATTGGGCCGAGGTGGCTGGTGGTAAAGGAGGAGGCCCCGAAGGCCGGGACTCCGAGTGTCGTAGAGGCCGCTGATCATACGAGGATGGTGGTGCTTGGTTGAGAGGCAAAGGGTGGGGTGAAGGATAGGGCGCCGCGGAATATGCGAGCGGGGGTAAGCCGGGCTGAAGAGCATATGGCTGCAAGTAGTGTCCAGGAGGAGGGGTGTGCATGGGACTGATCGGGTAGATGTACGCTGGATGGGGGATGTAGCCGGGCGGAATGTACGCTTGTGGCGGAGGAGGACGGTGGTATCCTGGGGCGCCTGGAGTCATTATATACCCCGGGGCGCCGATCATGGGTGACCGAGTGACGGCGGGAACGGCTGATTGATCGTTGATCGTCGATTCCGGATACATGCCCTTCGCTGGTTGAATGGAAGCCAGATTGGGATCGGTGCTTGGTTGTCGCAGCACCTGGGAGGTTGGGTGTGACCGGGAGTAATAGCTGATGAGATGCAGATGTTGGCCTTGGGAAGTGGTGATGCTGAAAGACTGCTTCATCAGACCGTCAGGTTTGTAGCGATACCCGTCTGGTCCTTCTTCTCCCTCGCCGGCCTGCGAAGGATCATCTTGAACAGCTTCTGGAGTTTTTGTGCCGGGCCTGGCCGGATTAGTATATGAATTCCCTCCTCTTTTACCCTCCATTTCGCGATAGGTCAAAAAGCTGCCCGAGACGCGGCTTGCGCTCCAGCTCTTTCCATCAGTCCATCTCCGCATTCCCGCCTCTCGCTCATCCCAGACAAAGACCGAACCGGATCTGATTGACTGTCTTTCTTTCTCTGATAGTCTCCGCTGGACTCGAGGGAGTATGCCTAACCTACAAGCCTCAAAGAGGATGATGGCGTCTGTAGGGGTACGGACGAGACCGTTGTATGTCTCCATCGTCTGAGTAATTTGAAAACCTTGTCCAATTTCGTCGAAGGACTCGTTGACCAAGGGGGTTCTGCGCACGGTCGAGTGCTAGTCGTCGGTTTTAGTCCGTTCGGCTCAATCGCGGCGGGCTGAATGCTCTTGCACAGACACCTCAGCTCGCCGCGTCCATTTGTTTGATTGCTCGCGGGTTCCCCTCCTCAGATGCCCGACGCAATTGGGTCTTTGCTTGACCTGCTTTTTTTCTGGGCGCAAACCCGACTGCGCCTCCGCGGCGGTCGCAACACTGAACGGGAAATAGCCCACACACTATAGTTGCTCAAGTGGTTTCGAGCACTGAAGAGAAAGCTGTGCGAAAACTGCTCGATGTTTCGAGAATCGACAAGTGCATCAAAAGGGTCGACGAGACGCCAGAGCGATGCCTCTAATAATGCAAATGCAAAGAGCCGATAGACCAGGGTTTGGAGAGCAGCGTGGAGTCAACTGAGGATCCGGGCGGTGCGCAGTTGGGGCTCGTCAATCGACGTTACGGGGGCCGTGGTCGTGGGAAGATCAGAGGCCGGTACGGCTGGCAGCACCGATTCGTGAGTGCGAGGATGGGAACATGAGAGAAGTGCGAAAAATCACAAGCACAAGAGCAGCAACGCCAGACAAATAGAAGAAGTTCAAGGCGCAGTGTGGGAGGCACTCTGGCCTGTGGGTGGATCCCTTGCTGCCCTTGGTTGGGCCCTTGAGCCCTCGCAAGCCCTGGGCTCACTAGCCTTGGAGGGTACCAACAGTTATGCCACTTCCGCAGCGGGTCAAGCCTGCGCACTAGGCTTATGCTTAACCCAGTGCCCGCAGCAGCTAGCTGGACGCGGGCCAGTGACCGCTATTCATCACAACAGCGTAGCCCATGATCGATCGCTGGGCCTGCAAGCGAGCAGGACGACGTTCCATAGGTACTGAGGGAGGGAGACCCGGTACCTCGACAGCCCGATAGCCGCGGGAGAGCAAGTTTCGCAGACAGTCGATAATTCACCGGAGCAGCAAGGAGAGGGGGTGTATGCGCGTTTCGCCACGGCTTGCTTGCGCTTTGTATCCCAGCACTCATTACCTAGGTCGAGTGCCGAGTTCTATTTTTTTTTTTTTTACTTTTTACCCTCTGCCTGGCCCTGGGATCACGAGATGACCATCCTCGCTCGGTGATCAGCGCTTGCCAACCCAAGGGGAAATTGATCCCAGCTCTTCTTTTGGGTCTGTCTTGGGAATGGCCTCATGTTCCGTTCCAGCCAATGGCAAGCTGGTGGCCTTGCAATTTTCGGGAAGAGCCCAAGTCGCCAACGGAATTATTGTCGTGGCATGACGCCCAAGAACGCACTCGCCCTGGGCAAAAGCCTGAGTCAAAACTAATGCCCCATCAGGGTGGCTTGGCATCTGGGAAGTCCGGAAGCGAAGGGGGAAAGAACATCACGCCCTTTTTGGAGCACGTACTCGGTACCCCGGTACAACCACGCTGCGGTGGAAGATGCTGACACACGGTTTCTCACAATCACAGCCGTACTCGGATCCAGGACGTAGGCTTGGTGCCGAGTTGAAGCAGCAAAACCCGTGGGCAACACTCGACGGCTCTGCGCAGCCAGCCACCTCGGAAACGTGTCGAGATGGGCTGCCGATAAATGCAGACACTTGGCACGGCGCTAGCGAAGACGCCAACAGTCTTGGTTGCTCTTGGCCTTATCTTGGTGTTCTTAGTTTTGACGACCCTCGTTTCAATTTCCAATCTGACTCGCGGCTGGGCGCCTGGGCATCCGTGGGCATCTGCGTAATGCAGTGTCTCGGCGGCCTCCAGGCGGCCTTTAGCCTTTGATCGAATGCTTGGTCCATTTCTGGGCCTCTTGGCCCTCTGGGTCCTTTGCCAATGCGATTCGGTTGCATAAGTCAGTATTCCACTCTTCTTCCTTGGCCTCTTCTCCAGCTGACCGACCGTCGGGTTCAGCTCCGAGTAGCTGTGCTAACTGCTCAGGGGTGGTGATTACAGCAACATCCCCGGGCAAAGGATGCTGATGGCTCTCCCAAGGACCTCAACCTAAGCATAGTTACCTAACTCCGTACCCGGACCAGGAACGCTGGGGCTTCTCCGCTTATGCTTAAGCGTCTTGTTAAGCATGATTCAAGCCACCAAAGTCAAAAGGCGAACGGGTTCCGGATCAATCAGTTTCGGTACTAGCCTGAGAGGCGTTGAGCTTGGCACTTGAGACCGGTAAATCTTCACCGACCAGTGATAAGGAGATTACGTTTTCTTCATTTTCTCTGGGGGTCTGCTGAGCAAAACGACGAAGGGGGCTTGCGCGTACACTTGCGAGATTGGCAGAAAAGTGGAACTCTTTTTCCGTGCCATTATTACGTCTCAGCTTTCGAGCTGACTGCATCTCCTTCGCATCCTTGTTAGATCGATGCTTAACCTCAGGGAGACCATGACAAGAGAATAAGAGAGGAGGATACCTTGACTAGGAGCCCCTTTCGACGAGTATCGGTTCCCATGCTCCCTTCTCGTTACTCCTACCGACCTATTCCGTTGCGAGCAGGCCTATTGCAACCGGAATGGACGTGTCAGAACTGACTACCGTTCTTGCGAGAAAGCGCCGAGCGTTCAATCTGACCTCGAAATACCAGTCGTTGCGCACGCTCCACGTCCTGCTTTGTTTGACATGAGTGTTTTTGAAACCTTTCACCATTCCCTCGTCACTGGAGAAGAACACATGCAAGCAGTTCTAGCCTTCTTTGCCGCTTCATTTCTTCCATCAGAGCAATCCTTCCTGTTGTACAAGGTACTCCGTACAATGCTTTCCCAGCCACAGAGTGACCGATTCGACATTCTTTTTCTTTTCTCGGAAAGTGGAGTATTCTGGGTTTAGGGGTGCCACTCAGCGAGGATGGTCTCTTGGGTGCCATCCTGGTGGTAACTGGCGCAGCGGTAGCGGTGTGGAGAGCAGGAAGCCACGTGGGTGAGCAAAAGACTTCCGAGACAAGCCCCAACGGACGGTGCAATTCTTAGCGCGCAAACTGCTGTTCACAAGCGAGTTGGGCAACTTGGGCAACTTGAATCCCCCAGATCACCCCTATGTAAGCTGTTATTTCTGCTTTTTGACAATGGCAGCCATATTCCAGGACGCCCGGCTCAGCCCATCGATCGCTGAGAAGATATATTCCCCCCTCCCCTCTCCTTCTTCCACTAGAGTTTTGCAGCTCGAGAAAGGATCGTATGATAACCCTCTTAAAGCTTCACTTGTCGTTGTGGACATTGCTGCGGACTCATGTCCGGAGTACGAATGTATATCCTACACATGGGGCGACCAGATATCACCCAATTCCATCAATGTGGATGGAAACGACGTCCCCCTCCGGATGAATTTGGATCAAGCCCTCCGTCGTTTTCGCTCGGCTACAACGCCCAGGCTTCTGTGGGTCGATGCCATTAGCATCAGACAGGATGATTCGAACGAGAAGGCACAACAGGTCAAGATGATCGGCGATATCTTTCAGAACGCCACGAGGGTTCTAGCCTGGCTTGGGGAGCACTCTGATTCGAGCGAGAGTCTCTTCAACACTTCCGAAGAAGCTGCGACTAACCTTTTTGACCGAGACCGTGCCGAGTTCCGGCACAAGTACAACACGCTGGCCGACTTTATGAACCGTCGCTACTGGCACAGAACTTGGATAGTCGCGGAGATTGTTTGTGCCCGCGAGTTACTAATTTGCTGTGCCTCTGACAAGATCGCGTGGGAGCATCTTCTCAAATACAACTTCACCGATGTGATGCGATTCGATCAAGGCTGGACAAGGAAATTGACCAAGTTGGAGGACGCAAGGAATGGCCACAAGTTCGCACATGACCCAGCCCACATATCAGATGTGGAATGGGAGGGGCACCGCGAACTGCAGGGCTATCTCTATGCGACGGAGAACACGGATTGCTTGGAGCGCAGAGACAAGATATTTTCGCTCCGGGCAATCCTGCACAGCACGAGCATGCGCGATGCCATTCGCGTCGACTACACGACGTCGATCCCCCAACTCTGCGCCCAGACGCTGAAAGCCGCCCTTGTGGCTTACGACGACGACCAGAACAACATTGCCGAGTTCTTGCTGTTGTCCTATCAACTCGACAAAAGCCTGCAAATGGCCTTGGAAGAAAGACTCCAAATGGCCGATCTCCTTCTCGATGACCGGGACGGTTTCGAGGCGCCTGCACTGGACATAGTGAGCGACATATTGTCCGATGGAGCCACGGAGAAGTTCTTCGAGATCGAATACGAGCCTTACGACACGGAGTGGAGCTGGGAGCAGAAGAAGGACCACGTCCTTTCGTGGCGCGACAAGGCGCGTCGAAGTGGGAAGTGGCCTTCCACTCCTGTCACAGCGCAAGCCAAGTTCTCCTAGTCCTAGTTCTCGACAGATCCCGCCGTCCAAGATTGGGCCAGAGCCGTCGTTCTGAATGGAGACGAACACTCCGTCCCACAAATGCGCAGAAGGCCTCCTTGAGCGGGTAGGGAATCACGCCAACGAGCGAGACGAGAGGCAGATAGCTGAAGCCGAAGTTCACAAAAGGTACCTAACTGCCTGCCTGCTCCGAACCTACGTTCCTACAAAGGTAAGTATTATGTCCCTCAGTAGTGCTTCAACCCTGCAACTAGCTGCGCGAGGCGCGAAGGGTGCGTTGATATCACGTCCACCGTCGAACGACATCGCAGCGCGACAACGTCAAAAGGACAGGAGTCGAAATTTATTGATCTAGATGATTCCGACCGATGATCAATTCCATTTCATCCCGCTAGGGGACGATCCGAGATCGTGGACCCAACAACAACCTGCTAACGATTGACCAGTGGTAGATGTGTGTCTGGTCCACAGTCCCACATTAAGTTTGTTCCTGCAGCCTCAAGTTCTTCGAATCAAAAAGGACAATAGCTTCTGAAACAAATACGGGACACCGGAACACATCATAACCAGTCCTCATACCTGCACTCCATCCCCCAAGCCGCTGTCCTTACATGTTCTGCTTCCGACGCCTCACCTTGACAGTCGCAGTCAAGGGTGGCACCAAGCTTGTTCCGATCCACTTACTCTCGGGCCTCTCGGTCAAAGGCTCAAACTCATAATTCAGTACTATATACGCTAATAGCAACTTCAACTCGTTCGCCGCAAAAAATCTTCCTGGACAGGCATGCCGTCCGTGTCCAAACGGATGATATGTTGGCGAAGTACTGACGAAGGAGAGATTTGCTTTCCTAATATATTCTTCTGTGATGTTGGCATTAGATTTATCGTTTTCAGTTTCGGGCGACTCTGCTGTCGATGATTCTCGTTCTACGGAGAAACGGAAGGGGTTATATGTCGCGGCATCGGGGTAGTGCTCTGGATCGTTATGGACGCCACTGGTCGGAACAGCGACGCAGCTCCCGTAGGGACAAAATGTGCCGTTGGGAGCAGTGACCCCATCTGGCGCCACGACCTGACGCATTAGCCCGGCGCCCAAGAAGGAGCCAAGTCGAGAGGATTCTCGTAATGTGGAGTCTGTTTTGTACATCTTTGCGAGGCCGGACTTGGTCCAGACGCCATTGTCGGCCGCGATAATGGAGCTGGCTTCTTCGCGGATTTGCTCCAAGTATTTCTTAGATGGGTTGGAGGCGACAAGGTCGAATATGACGTTTGTGATGCTGAACGTCGACGTGTGAATCGCGGCGAAGTTGACGGCGAGCAGCCTTTCGGCGATGATGTCTGGGTCGCGCTCAGCAGGATAAGGGCTTTCCTGAGCTCGACGAATCGACCATTGCAGGAAATCGTTGGGTTCTGGATCGCCGAGTTTCTTCTCTAGGTCCCCATTCTGACCTTCAAGAAGTTTCTGGCGTCGTTCGATCTCGGGCCGGACAAGGCGGCTGAAGCATTTTGTGTGATAGCGGTTCGGTCGCGCTATGAGGACAGCCGCCAGAGGGCGGAGGAAATCAGGAAACAGTTTGAGAAGGGAGGAGGCGATTGGAACAGCAGTTGCGAAACCAATGCCGTGCTCCAAGAGTGCCTTGTTCCGGCATAAAGGCAGGCCGACGAATACGCGATTGCTAGTTCGAGCGATGATGAGCTTGAGGGTCTCGAAGGGACAGATTTCTCTCCACTCGGTCGTGTTGGTGCCCCAAATATCGTCGAATGCAGAGCCTAATTCGTCCATGATGTCCATAGTGAGGGCGCCCAATTGGCGGGTGAGCTCACTTCTGATAGTCTCATGGTGTAGCGGCTTGTCGACGACGACCGGATGAACAAATGTGTAATCAGTCTGTAAGACGTCCTTGTGAGGTTCGTCCGCGCTCAGAACGCTCTCTGGCTGATTGATGATCCAATTGATTGACGATACTGGGAGCACAATTTCGTCCCCGTTCAGTTTTCCAATTATACATGATTGGTTCTTCTTGGAATACTATAGATTGATCAATAGGATAACGCAGAGATAAGCGAAGCCGACTTACCAGGTCATAAGCCTGATGGATTGATTGCTTGTAGTTGACGGTGGAGCGGAATCTGGCACGCAAGGTTGTGAACCATTCGCCCTCTTTGGTGTTGAGCCACGGCAGGTCTGGCAGGCTTGGTTTCGGCTGGCGCCGATGGTATAGAAGCCCTAGCACCACGACGAACACAACGGCCAACAGCTGGGGCCGGAAAAGGTAGTCAATCATGGCTGCAGGTTGATGTGGTAGTTCTTTACGGCTGCAAAGTGCGCTGAGGTTGATGAAGATACTGAGATTCACAAACAATATACGCTGGGTTACACTTCTTTATCCTCCAGCGTATTGTAGCACTCAAGAGTCGTATTTTGAGGTGGGGTGGAGGAATTGTTGGACGGGATCATCAAGCTCTGGCTAGTAATCGAGTGTCTAGAACAGTTGTGAGATGCCAATTTGGACTTTGGGCATCGTTCGGCATTCGACAGAATAGTCTTTTGAGCATGTCAGCACTGCTGACCGAACATGAAGGATTCAAGGTCGCCCACTTTCCCCGTGGAACCTGCCATTCATAGATCACCGGAATGCGGTGAGAGGCGCAGGGGCTTATCGAACCAGAACTCGGGGCGAACAGCAGCCGCATCTGATCTGGAACTGATGGAACGAGATGATTCTAAGCGACCGTTCGTCTTTAGGCTCGGATTGCCCGTTCTGCCGATGGAGGAGGTCCGCTCAACCATGTTTCGACGCATGATTGGTGCTGGGCGGCGTTACAAGGGGTTGAAAGGCTGAAATGCTGGTGAGGATAGCGAGCGATTTACCCGTTTCAAGGAACGTGTTGACGCGGCAGTGAAACGTGTGAGGGCCGATAAAGTGCGTCTCGGAAGCTTCGACGAAGGATCTAGCCACTAGCTCTGAAGCGAGAAGGAGATGAGAGAGATGTCGATCCGACGCCGTGCAACTCCTCTTTCCAGGATTGTTCATTGAGACACGGCTCGACGGGCAAGCGGCGAGGCGAGGCGAACTGAGGCGGTTGATTGTTTTCGAAGTCGGCGCGGAGAAGCGCCGTGATGGGGACCGAGTACGTGGCTGGCCAGTAGTCCTCAGGTAACGCCGGGACAACCTAACAAGTGCTGGGTAGAAGGCCCAGGGTCTCCTACCATAGGTACAGGTGCCTCTCGTAAACTAAGCCCCTCTAAGATGGGTGCGGTGTTGGCACCACTGGGGGGGGGGGGCGGGCCTGCGTGGGCGTTGTTTACCTAAACATTCGGGGACCTGCCACCCTCGGTGGGCACCGCTGGACCCTGCAGCCACAAGTCTGCCGGGTGCCAGCCCCCCTAGCCACAACACCCGCCACAGACGCCAAACGCGTCCCGTAACGAGAGAACACACGCACATCATCCGCCGAAAAAAACCACCCCGCTCGACTGGGTACACAAACAATGGTCTCATTTCGACGCAATTCGAGGAATACTGTCTAGGCGCAGCCTGAACCCCTTCGAGACGAGTCTACCTTGTCGCACGCTCATTGTCATGCCCCCAAAAATCTCATTCCCTCTGCGCTGCCAATGGCAGACCCACGGTTGAACCGCGTTGAGGGCACCTTGACCTCCCTCCTCGAAAGCCTCGTTCCGGCCCTCTCCCCCGAGCAAGATGACACTGATACCGAGTTTCGCATCGATCGCGCCATCCGAAATGCAAAAGCAGCCGTTCTAAATGCAGACGGCAGACTGCCTCCAGATACCAATCAGGCACAAGATTTGATCAAGCGGAAACTGCTGCGAGAGAATGCGTCTCCAGAAAAAGCTGCCAGGTTCAGCAATCTTTACTCCAGACTTCTTGCCATCCCCGTCCTCAACCAAAAATGGGCCATCTTGTACCTCCTCTACAAGCTGTCGGACAACTCCCTCCCTGATGCGCGTCCTCGAAACCCGCTGGCAGACTCGGAGCAACTCGCCAACATCCCGCGGAGACATACCTTGTCTCCAGAGAGCACATTTACGGCGGAGGAGGGGCTAGAAGATGACGAGGAAGAACCACAGTCACCGAAGGTGTCGCTCCGAAAAGCGCGTACTTTTTCAGCTAGATCCAGAAAGCCTAATGACCAAGTCGAAGTTTCCGCAGAGGAGGAAGATCAGCCCCAGGCGCAAGAACCGACCGAGGAAAAACCCGTGGTGCAGAAGCAGGAGCCTCGAGTCATTTACCCTTCGAAATTCGAACTTCTGCGCGATTTACCCTTCAATCTCCAAGGCGTGTCCTCCGCACACCTACAATTCGCAGACAATGGCTCGCTGAAGCTGCCTCCCAGTCTCCCGGTTCCGATTCTTTCGTTGTTGCATGCACTTGCAGAACCTTGTCTGCTCTACCGGGGACTAGCGGAGTATGCTGCAGGCCAAGATGGTGGACTTATTGATCAGAGCCTTCGTTCCGCTATCAACAACGAGCTTCGCTCCTATTTGAGTCTTGTCGCCTCGCTCGAGACGGAGGTTCGACAGGCCTTGGCTACTGTCCAGAATGCTCAAGATCCCAAAGCGGTGCGTCTGACTGGCGTCAGTTTGAAGCGATGTCTGATCTGGACAAGAGAGGCCACCATGGCCCTTCGACTTATGAAACTGATCGTCGAGGACTCGAAACACAAGCGGGGTGGGCAATTGCTATCTCTTATACATAACTTTTCGTCGTCCCATGGTGACCCCTTTGTGGCCTCATTCGCGGAAAAGCTTCTGACACATGTTGCTCGCCCATTTTATGAGATGCTCAGGCATTGGATTTACGATGGCGAATTGACTGACCCGTATCATGAATTCTTCATAACGGAGCCAGATCCTACTTCGCAGCCCCCCGTCGATCATCGACATGTGGCAACTTCCGTTTGGGAAGAGAAATACAAACTCGACTCGGGAATGGTGCCCTCGATCATATCCTACGAGTTCTCCAGAAAGGTTTTCCTTATTGGCAAATCTCTCAACTTCATTCGCAACAATTGTGGAGATTCCGACTGGGTCATTCAATATTCCAAATCAAATTCTAGGTCTCTTGACTATGCCAATACGGCCAACCTCGCGCAGTCAATCGATGTGGCTTACCGAACGACAATGTCGCGGCTGACTCATCTGATGTCGACGAAATTTGGCTTGTTCACGCATCTGACGGCAATCAAGAAGTATATGTTGCTGGCCCAGGGTGACTTCTTTGATCTCCTCATTGAGTCATTAGCTCAGCATCTTGATCGCCCTGTCAATTCAATGTATCGACACAATCTGACGTCGCAACTCGAACATGCCATACGGCATTCTAACGCCCAATATGACGACGCCGAAGTGCTGCGACGATTGGATGCGCGCATGCTTGAGCTGTCGAGTGGAGAAATTGGTTGGGATTGTTTCACTCTCGAATACAAGATCAGTGCGCCCTGTGATGTTGTCATTACTCAATGGGCCAACACGCAGTATCTCAAAATATTCAACCTGCTTTGGAGGATAAAGAGAGTCGAGTACTCCCTCAGCTCAACCTGCAAACGATGCATGACCGGCGGTCGAGGAGTCCTTGCTGCAGTTAGTGACAAGCTGGGCAACGATTGGAAACGGTCAAGATGTGTCGTCGCAGAGATGGTTCATTTTGTCAATCAGCTGCAATATTACCTTCTGTTTGAAGTCATCGAAGCCAGCTGGAAAAAGCTCGAAGAGGCTCTGCACAAGCCCGAAGCTACGCTTGATGATTTGATCGAAGCTCACACAAACTACCTAAACAACATTACGAAAAAGGGTCTGATTGGGCAGCAGAGGCACCTGGTAACCGGCCAACAAGAGGATAGCCTCATCGTCCAAGTCCACCATATCCTGAAATGTATGCTTGCCTATCGGGAAGTCATCGACTCGCTCTACTCGTACAGTGTTGCGGAGTACACTCGACGTCAACAGTTTAGCGCGAAAATAGAGCGACGAACTGCTCAAGGGAAATGGGGTATCACCGAGAAAGACCTCTTTGGTGATTCAAGGGCAAGCACACCAACTTCGGCGGCAGCTGCGGGAGCCTTGAGGGGTGCTCAACTGGTGTTGGAAGAAAATGACTCTTCACTTGCTCCACCAAATGAAAATATAAATATCACGGACGACGAGACCCATCTGAATTCCTTGAGGACACGACAACTGACTCTATCGGCCGATTTTCGATCGCGGCTCAGTATGTTGTTGTATGACTTAGCTCACCAACCGGACGTCGATTTGAGGTTTTTGGGGGTTGTTATGAATTTCAACGAGGTCTACCAACCGGTCAACATCCGACGGCACCAGGCTAGACGGGCTCGAGAGAAGCGAGAACTGGAACGAAAGGCTCGTGAAGCGACAGTCTCTTCTGAGGGCAACATCTCTCTGGAAAAGGACTTGAACAGCTCCACGTCGAAGTCATGAAGTATGCAATGGACCAACACCTTCCCCCCTCATTTCCGGGTGCGGTGACAGAATCCTCAGAGCAGACACGATTAATATACAGCTATCCTGGGAAGAAGATAGGCCATACATGGGAGTCCCACAATGGGGAGATATGGCGCCACTGTTACGGCGAGATCAAACAGAGATCTCTCATGGCTGAGCAGGTGGTGACTCGTACTACCACGCTAGTAACCTAAAATATCGGTCATAACCTCAGTTTTCCGTCTCTGCCATGGAAAACGTCCTCCTGTGCCAGTGTGCAACAGGTTGAAGTGTACTCCTACAGCTGCTGATGCTTCTCCATGCACAAACAGGTGGTAACCTATCACTCGCATCATGTCGTTTCATGCAGTTCTACTCGAACCTTTGCCCAGAATCGCCATGTTGTACAACTCAATAACTGACTTGATCCCTTCAACTCCGTATATCGGCCCCTAAACAAAGTGGCCAGTCTCAGTCACGGCCATGATCTCCTTGCGACGACAAGAGATGTGGTGGTCCTCTGGTTCCGAAAGTATGCTGGGACATTTCCAACGAGCCAGTTGACTTACAAAAGCAAATCACTCTGTGATCGACTACTTGGCGTGTCCTACTTTGACGCATTCACATCCGTAAATTGGGGTGCCCCGGCGTCTGCCTGAGCAGACACTTTTTCCCCCGGAAAGTCGAATCCTGGCTCTGTGCCCTTGTGCTGATGAAATGCCAAGTCAATGAGCCGATGAATGCGGTCTCTCAGCCGCGAATGCCGTCGCATTGGCCATTCTCAAACACGGCTACTTGCAGGAAAATGGGGTTCGACCACTTCTTCGAAGAGGTAGGCGGGCCGAAGGCGAAGAAGGTGCATCCTCGCGTGTTCCTTTTGCGTTTTTGTCCGCATTCGCAGAGTCTATAACGTCGGAGAAAACGGGGTTGGAGAAGAAAGAAGTGTATGGCAATCAGAACCCGGTACAGGTTTTCTTTTTTTTTTTTAAATCCTTCTTTTTTATTACGAGCGGGCCCGGGCCCGAAAGCAAATAAAACGCGTCGAATATGTACCTAGGCATGTATGATGTATCCAGGGATGGACCCTCCGAGGGACCATCAAAATACAGTGCCCCTGACCTGTGCAGTCTTGGTCACGTTGATGTTCTTGATCATGAACATCCATATCAGCGACAATGCCATGATACCCGTGCCTACGGCCAGCATCCTCGCCTGCGCATAGCCGTACGACTCCTGGATGCCCAGCCGCTCAGGCGTGCCGACCGCGTAGCTGAGCTGCGTGTCTAGACTGTTGTATATGTCCTCCAGGTCCGCGGGCGAGGTCGTCGAGGGGAGATTCCGAGCCAGGGCTTTGGCGAACGTGTTTGTCCATATGGCGCCGGAGATAGTGTTGCCTATGGCGCCGCCGACGTTGCCGACTACGTACAGCAGGGCCAGTACGGCGGCGACGTGCTGGTGGTCCGCGGCGGCTAGGATAGCGATCTGCTGGACGATGATGAAGATGCTGCCGCCTACGGCGATAAAGATCTGGCACATGACAATGCATCCTATCCCGGTGTTGGGGCGGCGGAAGTGGATCATCAGCCCTTGCGCGAAGATGTACAGCGGCACCGCGACGAAGAGCAGCCACTTGAAGTAGCCCGTCTTGCGGATCAGGAGGCCCACGAACAGCAGCAGCACCCCCGACACCACGTCGAAGGTGCTGCCCACGTACCCAGCCTCGGCCAGCGACAGGTTGTTGACCACCTGGAGGAACGACGTGAAGTAGCTGTTCCAGCAGTAGTACGAGACCTGGTAGGTGAAGTCGAGCAGACAGGCGCCGATCACGGTCCGGTTGGCGAGGAGGTTGACGTGCAAGAACGGCGCCCTCGCCAGGAATGTCTCGTAGAGTCCGAAGAGGGCGAGCACGACGAAGCCGACGACGATCATCGCAATGATATAGCCCGAGGCCCAGCCTTCGGGGGCCGAGTCGGCAAGGGTAAAGGGCAACAAGAAGACTGTTAGGCCGGCGGCGAAGAGAACTACACCAGGAGCTGTTCAAAAGGAGACAAATGTCAGTTACGGGAACATTTTCCAAAAAAAAAAGGGGAGGGGGCCCCAGTCGCCCAGCTACTTGACGCACCATCAAATTCTTGAATATAATGCCATATGTTCTGCCACAGTGTCCGTCCACTGCTCTTCCGAGAGAGCAAACCCTGTTTCGCGGCTTTTCGCAGATTGAGCTTCAGAATGACGTACAACGGAGCCGCCACGAATGGTAAGATGATAGCAAAGCAGCCGAACCCCCATCGCCAGCTGATGTGATAGTAGAAATCGTCCGAAGCCTTGGGACCAGCGAACGCCGTGATCATGTAAGGCGAAGACGTGAACGCGTACGCCAGGCCTCGGTTCTTCAGCTTGGACGCATCGGCCGTGATCACGTCGACGCTGTATATCAAGCCCCCGAAGCCGATAGAGTAAAACACCTAAGTCTCTCATGTTGTCATCAGCAATGTTGACGTCTTGTTCAAAAGCTTGGGCTTGAGATTCGGATCTTTAGGTGGTCTTATGTACCTGTGCTGCGCAGAAGGTGGAGAGACCGCTGCAGGAAGCCATCAAGACTAAGCCCAGGGTAGCGAAGGCTACCATGAGAAGAAAGCCTTCGGCCCGGCCCCAAATGTCGAGCATCTTGGCCAGTGGAATATAGACTGCCGCACTCATGGAGTTGGAAACAATGTAGATGACGGTCAATAAGGAGTGCATCTCGAAAGAGCTTGTGGCGAAAGGGACCAGGTTATACAGGATCGACGATTGGAACGCATTGACGAAATAAAGTAGGAACATCCTATTGTAAAAGGGTTAGTCAAGGCCATGTTGATGCCGTTGGGGGAACAGAAAGATCACGGAATGATCAGGGACGTACAGAATGAAGACAGCAATGAGAGACTTCTTTGACCAGGTCAAGGTGACAGCCTCGACGTCCTGAACACCTCTTTGGGCAGCTTCATCAGGATTTTCTGCATGGCTTTGCCCATTGCTGCCGCTTGCGGTGGCATTGCCTGCGCTGGCTACTGCTGGATTCTTCTCATTTGCCTCTAGCGAGCTCATGGGTAGAGGAGACTCTGCATCGTCGGTCGTCGTTCGACGGAATCCAGGTCTCAGTCTAGGCAACACCGCCATTTTTCTCGAGATGGAGAACGCACATAAAGGGTAGTAGAGGAAGAGGAAATCAAAAGGAAGAGATAGTACCCGATCCTTATAAACCTAACCTACCTGCCGCCCGCTGGTACCTGTGGATTGAGATATCAATTGGAACAACCAGGTCGCTAGGGTCACGCAGCAAGACCCGCAGATGGGTGTAACGCTGCTGATATTTATGTACCATGAACAGTAGCTCCAACGCATCGGCCATGGAGAAAAGCTTGATCCGATGTCGGGAATCAAGTCCAAAGGGACCTGGGTCTCCTTTGTCTCGACAGAGAATCGAAAGCCTAGGGAAACCGCCAGGTTGTTGCGACTGACCATCGAGCCATCTCCCTCCAAGCTTCACCTGCTCCCTCTAGTCCAGGCTTATCGATTTTGTGGCATGATAAGATTAGATGACAGCTGATTAAATGAATCCGCGCCCCGAAGCAGGCGTCGGTTGGGCTTTTGGTGGATGCCATAGCCGCGTCCGTCGACTTCCTAGCCCGAAGAAAGCGCGTGAAGGTGAAAGTTTTCATCTAATCTGATTGATTAGCTTTTGATCATCGCTCATCGCTTAAGCCACCTACGGCTCGGGGTGGTTGTCAGCACAGGCAGCCTAGGGACGTTTCTGTGGGCAACCAGGGCAAGGGAGGGGCGAATAAAGGCGAGAAGAGAGGTCGGCAAGAGATTCTCCCATGTAGAGAGCTTGTCTTACTGGTGCCACTGGCCACAGAGACCTTGATCTGCTTTGCCCAGCACCGGGTCGTTCTCAGGCTTCGCGACAGACCACACCTTCTCAAATTTGCCCACGTCCTCACCACCTTTGGCGAAGTCCCACTGGCCTCCGCCCTTTGGGTATGCGCCTATCATAGTAAACCCGGAGAGCTCGATGCTCGCCAACGTGTCCTTGACGCTCCCTTCTCCGGCGACCGCATGTCCGTCACCCGGTGTGAGTAACTTGAATTCAGTGACCGGAGAAGCATTGAAAGTCTTGTGCGCGGTACCTGCTGGAAGGATAAATACGTCGCCTGCCCGCGCTGGGACCTCAATGCCGCCCTCCTCCTTGCCGGATCCATGGGTGCTTTCTTCCAGGTCTGAGACTGTGTCCGCAACACCGAATCGGATCGTTGCTGTGCCCGTGAGGACTGCCATGCACTCGTGGACTCCAGAGTGGTAGTGGGATCTCTGTGACGGCCCGTAGCGGAAAATCCATTGCGTTTCCCAGCCGTTTGCGGTGAAGAGGTCGTGGGCTTTGGATGCGAAGCTCTCGTGTGAGGAATCAACAGATGACAGGAGTCCCGGGTAGTGGAGGAGGGGCTGTGGTGAATTGGGAATGAGAGCGGTAGGCGGGAGGTAGTATTTCTTGACTTCAACCATTTCTCCTCTATGCTTGCTCTGTGGTCGTCGGAGGGTCTGGATTTCTCGAGTCAGCAGTAGGAGAAGTTGTGGCAGGTTGGGTTGAAGACGAACAGTTGATCAACTGACGCCAGCATGTTCCCGCAGCTCCCCGCCTCCAGACACGGTGAGGGGAAGATCACAGGCTGGACCGGACTGCATTCGACGACACCATTGCAGGTTCAGTATTCTTTAGCCGTGCCTCTGCCTCTTTCCTGCTCTCGAGAGGTGTTGAGCGCATCTAAGGGGCTTCCTTGCTAGTTCTGACTACAGATTCAGTTCCCACGCGGACATCGCTGGTCAAAACAATAACCCTCCGCACATCCAGTGCCACATTCGCAAGACTCCCTCCCTATTCCTCACCCAGGCGAGCACCAGGACGGCGAGCATCCTGGCTCTGCTCCCACGGAGACACATTACCCACTTCAAAGAAACGCCTCCACCCAAGCCCTTTTCCCTTTCAACATTCCCAATTTATCCATAAATCGGTGCCACACCAAGACTGAACACGCATAACAGTAGCACATCCTTCCGGAAGTACCATTCCTCACGTCGTTTGCTTAAGGACATATGTCTCTTCTTGTGCTTGTGCCTTGTCGTATCTGTAAAGAACCCACCAGGCATGAATGATACCTGGCACCCACCACAGAATACACAAGCAAATGTTGATGATGAAGTTTGCGTCGAATCCCGTCTTCAGAAATACCGCCAATGGAGGCAGGAAGAGGGCAAGGATATATAGGCAGACGTCGGACGCTGATAGTGAGAGGCGACTCATATTTTTTGTTGGTTCTTGTTCTTGGTCTTGTACTGGTTTCCCAATTTCTGGTTCAAATAGTGGATAGTCGTTTGTTTGTTTTTTAAGTTAAGCTGCTGCAAGGGCCTAGATATCGATCCCCATCACCAAAAGAAACATACGAGATATAATAAATCGAGTCGAAAATGCTCGTTGATGTTGTTCAGTCACGCCTCGATGACCGAGGATCATTCGATGCTCACGAGACCCACTTACCCCGGATACGGCTGCACGAGATTGCAGAATACAGTACATGGCAAGGCTGGCTCCCTCTAGAAGCATATCGCGATTCCATTGAGGGAGTTTCATGGCGGAGAGGGAATTGTTGGAATGCGCAAGACATCATGTGCCGCTGCCAAGCTTGCATCAGGTGATGGCTTAATCGAGGTTCCACACGCGTGATGATTCCTAAGGAAGACAGAAAGGTGGAAGTGGTTTTTGAAAGTGGTGTGCCTTGAAATCTAGCATGTTTAATGGTTAATGGTCCCTGACAGCAGTGCTGGAGGTTGATTATTAGTGGGTTGGCTGAGCATTATCTTCCATGGCGCTTGTACCAAGTACTTGTACTTGTCAAGACTTGTACAAGTACAACCAGGTTGGGGGGGTGCTCTTGGCAAGGCTGCCCGACAGCCTCGTTCGCTGGAGAGGTGCTCGCTTCCACTTTGTTGCATGCGAACAGCTTTATGTACAGATCTCTCGCGCCGACACTATTGCCTTCGACAACTATGCTCGCCGCTCAATAATTTTCCTTTTAGCCATCAGGCACATATTCTGCAACGTTGCAGGCAAGATCTGAGCGCGCAGATCCTCGAGATAATGCCCATCAAGCCTCTCACATTCAAAGGCGACAAGAAGCCCAAAAAGCGCAAGCACCGTCACGACGAAGACGTCGACGACCCCCAAGTCGCCGTCGCCGGCAATAAGTACACAGCCGATCCCTCCGACGATGACTCCTGGACCACCCCCGACGCCCCCAGCGACCTCTCTGGCCCCGTCCTGCTTGTCCTCCCCACCAGTCCCCCCACCGCTCTCGCTGCCGATGCGCACGGCAACGTCTTTGCCTCAACGCTTGAGAACATCGTCGAGGGCGTCGCGGAGACGGCGGAGCCTCATGACGTAAGACAGGTCTGGGTCGCGAGCTCCATCGCGGGCATGGGAAAGGGCGAGATGAGCTTCAAGGGAAGTCACGGGGGGTATCTTAGTTGTGACTCTGTGGGGGTGCTGGGCGCGAAGAGGGAGGCCAGAGGCGTCGAGGAGGGATTCATCGTGGAATCTGTAGAGGATGATAGCGCTGGAGATGGGAAGACAAGGTGGAGGCTAAGGACCGCCGCATCGAAACCGGAACAGGGAGAGAAAGGAAGGCGGTATCTCTGCGCTCTCACAGAGACGAAACCGACAAACGCAAAATCAATCAACATCTCACTGCGCGGGGATGGTGAGGCGTCATCGGACTCGACCTATCTCATTTTAAAAATGCAGGCTCGCTTTAAGCCGCGGATACAGCAGACCAAAGAGACGAAAGCAAGGGAAAAGGTTAGTCGGAGGGAGCTCGAGCAAGCCGTCGGTCGGAGATTAGAGGATGACGAAGTGAAGCGATTGAAAAGGGCAAAGAAGGAAGGGAATTTCTACGAGGAGGTCCTGGACGTCAGGGTGAAAGGGAAGCATGACAAGTTCGCCAGTTGAGAGACATCGTTGATTCAATCACAAATCCGACCGACCTAAGCTACCACGAACTTTGCGCATTCGGAACCAACCGGACGCTTGCCAGAACTTCATACACATGGACATTCATTAACCGTTCCCCCCCCCACGACCGTCCCATCATATATCGACGCACGTACCGCCTGGTTGCTAACCTAAACCTTGTGGAAACGCCAGTCGCTATGCATCAAACCCACTCCAAGGGTATATGGCCCAAACATCGTCATCTCTTAAAGACTAGGAAACAAGCGGCCTGCGATCCGGCGCCCTAAAGGATGATTAGTGACTGTTTTCTCCTCATTCGAGATCGGTTCGAGGACTTACAAAGAGGTCTTGATTCCTCAGCAGTCCGACCTTCATCAGCCCGCTGTTCGTAACTGCGAGCTTCTCTTCGCACCAGTCGCTCGCGCAGCCACGCTCTCCTAGCAGCCACACCCTGAGCTCGAATATCGGCAGGAATATCGGCAGGAATTTCGTCTTCCACGGTATTTCGCCTGCGAGCGAGTGGTCCATCCATGCTTGCGACCGTAGTCCTTGCCTGATCCACGGGAATCTGAGGAGACACCATCGGTATCGAAATGCTCCGAACAGAGCGGCCGGTTATTGCAAGGATCGGGGCGGGAAGTCGATGCATATGGGAGGCCACCGATGACTCTTCTGCTGCACTAGAGCGCTGCCGCATCCTCCGCATCAGTCTTTCTCGCCTCACCATGAGGTTTGTGACCTGGACGGGACAGTATCCTGGTGGTAGTGATGATTTCTTGCATAGTGGACATAATGAGCTATTGTCGCGGAGGAAGGGATCAATGCATTCTGGATGAAAGATATGATTACAAGGCAGCTCGCGAACAGTGGTCTCTCCGCTGACGAAATCGTCGAGACAGATCGGACAAGTCGACTGGGAGAAGGCGACAGGGTGGACCACAACTGCCGGGGCGATTGCGCTCTCGACGTCCTTCGCATCCACTTGCGCCGATTTTTCGACTTCAGGGTGGGCTGTATCGACCGTTTCAGGCTCGACAGCCTCGTTCGACCTGTCGCCATTGATTTCATCCGGTTCCGTCTTAGTATTGTAAGTGTACTTTGGCATTTTGTCCAGCAGCTCTTGTGGCACTTGGAGCCTCTTGATCCCTAGAGCCTCGAGATCAACTTCTCCATTTGCCACGCGCCGCTGGAGGATGCGTCGTTGTCTTCGTTGGATCATGTGCATGACGATCGATGTCATCAAGACCACGGCCAGCAGGATCGCCAGGACGATGATCAGAAATACCCATAGCGAAGGGATGCCGGTGGTGGAGTTGACATCCATTCTCGCATACAGCCTGATAGTGTCGTTAGGGTTGTATATCTGGACCAACTCGCTGCCAAACGGAACCTCTGACATGTTCCCTGAATACAGTGCTAGCTCATTGAGAAGAAAAGATCCAAGCATCCCAGGTAGGGCATAAACTGGATAGTCGTTTGTGGACTTCCATTGCCCACCATCATGAAGAGTCCAGGAGCGATCGCTGACGGGAGGAGGTTGTTCATTCGAATTGCCCGGTTGAAAGAATATAGCCCCTCGGACCTGATCGGACCGCATGGCGGAGAGGTAAGAGATCACACACTCTGGCTCCGTCCATGGAGCCAACGCAATCAATGGGTAATCGCCTGGAGGTAGTTGGGCCCGTGTCGTGGCATTGGCCGGAATCAGGGATCTAGTGGAGTTGTCACAGGGACTGGAGGGCGGAAGGGCGGGAGAATATAGCAAGCCTTGTATGACATCGTAATGGTGCGGATTGCTGGGAGACAGGGTGCGGATGAGACCCGACGCTCTCAGTGCAAACCCAAAAGATTCCTTTCCAGTATTAGCAGATCATGTTTTGAAAGCTCTTGTGCGCTGTCTTGAATGTTTCATACATTGACAATGCGGGCTCCATTGGAGGGGTCATATTGTGGGTTGGGTAACACAATCGCAACGACGCCGAAGTCCTGTGCGGCTGTGCACCGGGTCAGCACCTATTCTCTTGTGAGACGAGAACATAAAGGTCGCACTCACACATGGCTGTTTAGATTGCCCGAAGCAAATGATTGCCACAGACTGCGAGGAAACGATTGCGCAGGCTCAATCGGCCGGGAACATGACTTGGGATGTGCGACAGGAACAACGGGACACTGTGCTCCGGAAAACACGGATGGGACTAGAGAGAGACTTGCGAGATCCGGATGACGCACGCATCGAGGTCATCAAGTTCGTGAGAGGGAGTGATTGCGACCTCTTCGGAGCGGGAGAAGATGAGGAAGCGAAAATGTGAGAGGATGTGACGACGAGGACGAGAGATTTGAAGACGGACTTCAACAACCTCGACCTCGACTCTTTGACCCTCGACGATCTGCGGACTTTGGACGATGCCAATGCGGTGATGCAGGCGGCGGCCCAGTTGCGCTGCGCCTCTAAGTCCTCCAAGACTGCCAGGAGCGCCCAGCCTCTTGAGATTTGTCTCAGCACCATGCAGCTTTTTCTGGGGCTGGGTTTCTGTGAGTGGGCGCTGGGGGGGGGACCTTGAGATCCGGCTGGTTTCCTCGCTAAATGTTTATTTCGGAGGGGGAGAGGGCCTGTAGCCTACCTCGATAGGGCTGGTGCGGCCTATGTAGCTTGGGCCGATTAGCAGGCTGCAGGCAGGCTATTCCTCTTCAGAAGAATCCGATCCGTCCTCCGTATTAACTTACTAATACTGGGTACAGAGGTCCCTCGTACTGTGCAGGTCATATTGCCTTCAAGGTGGGAAGCGGCATGTTAGCCGACAGCGCGCTTGGCATTCACCTGCGGCCGAGTCTCAACGTCAGTCGGATGATAGCAAGTGTTGAAAGTTGGTAAAGGAGACAGCGTCGTATCACAACACCCTCAATCCATTGGCTCTCAGTGGCGGCTCTCGTCAGTTTCGCGTCAGAAGAGTCGCAAATCCCCCTTCGAGAATCCTGAGACACGTCTCTATGATGGAGAGATCAAGCCCCCCCACGCCACTCTGATCAATGTCCCTCGTCCACCACCATCGACAATTCAACACATCGTTCCGCAATGCCTCCCTTACCAGGCGCCAGTAAGAAGAAAAACCGAGATGGGCGACGGTCTCGAAGTAGGAACACCACGCCGAGCTCGGTTCTCAGTGCTGGGACTGCCCCGCTTGGACCGACGTCGACCCCTCTTCTCGAGCTGGAAGTGTCTAAACTCCTGGTGTCCCCCAAGCCGAATTATGCAGAGATCATAGACCATCTGGAGACCCATGGCTCTAAACTGGAGCCCAAGTCGCTGCACGACATCATCGATCAGTTGAAGCATCTCAGTGAATCAGCCGAAAAACGCGCCGAATCATGTGAGAAAGCCATTCGGCTCATTCATGACCAGAAGAAAAATGCGGAAGCAGACCAGCAAGATCGCGACCGCCAGGCTGAGCAGGCTCGCCGGGCAAAGGCGCGCAAAGAGGAAGCGCACTCACAGAAGAATCCCAAGGCAAAGAAACGCAAAGATCGACCCGAGACTTTTGACAACGTCGAGATCAAGAAGGAAGGTATGTCGCTTGCCCATCCAGTGCCTCTTTTGAATTCTATATCCATTTCAATCTTGGCGATGGTCCGGCAAACCTCCTCTGTTGAATTGATAAAGGTCCTCTGAGGACCTGGACTGCGACAAGAGTTCACTAACGACATATGCCCAGATGAACCTTCAAAGACGAAACTGTCCCGTGCCACACCCGGGCCTTCGGACAGTCCTTCTCCTTCAAAGAAGACCAAGCTCAGTCCTGGGACTTCATCACTGTCAGAAGTCGCGGATTCTCCAGACGCTGCAGCTGCCAGCGCGCACGCCTCACCAACCAAGTCCGACGTGTCCATGTCAGATGCTGAAGACAGCCGCGTTGTTCACGGTCAGCCGCCCATGCCTCAACAAGGTTTCTTCCCCGACCCTCTGGCGCCGGACCCCGTCATCTACCACATTCGGAAAGTGACACCTGGCATGTCAGACGAGGAGAAGAAGGCGATCTACAGTGTCACTGCGTATCCGACAAAGGACCTAAGTGATCAAGTCGCCGGCACCCCACCTGACAAAGACTTCAGCAATGCGAAGCCTACCAATCAAGTCGCTGCCAACACATTCCTTACCTATGTGGAACCATTTGTCCGGCCGCTCACGGAAGAGGATATTGCATGGTTGCGCGAACGAGTAAGTCCTGGAGAACAAAAGCGGAGGAAGATGTCGCTAATTTGGCGCAGGGTGATCGAACAACACCCTTTCTCGCAGTACCCCGTGGCAAGCGTTCGTACCAGGAGATCTGGGCAGAAGAAGATTCGGGTACAATCTCCGTTGAGAATGGCAACGAAAAACTACCCTGGAATCATCCAAGGGGAAACGTGGAACAAATCAACGATGAAAATGTCGCGACGGATCAGATTTCGACTGGACCATTGGCGAGCCGGCTTCTGTCTCTTCTCAAGTTTGAGCACCGATCACCGCCGAATGATACCAATGCCACAGGTGACTTGAATTCTTTTATGGCTGATGGCAATGATACTATGGACTTGGATGGGCTCACAAACGGCCATGACACTTCTGAGAAGCCGCTGCCTCCTGCAACGGCTGTCGCCGACCAGGCCCCTGCGAAAGCCTCCACCTCCCAGCGCCTGGACTACATTCAAAGTGAGGAACGAATCAAAGGCGAGCTCCGACATCTTGGACTCCTGGGGCAAGACGAAAATCCTGATTATGATGCTCACCATGATGATGACATTAGCGAGAGGTTGCGTCTGCTGCAGGGAGAATTGCGTCGCGTGATGGTTGTCAACGGGGCCCGCAAATCACGTCTGCTGGATCTCGCCAAAGAACGGCTGGCGTTTCAGGAGTACAGCACTATTCATGAAGATCTTGACAGCCAAGTCCAACAAGCCTATCTTAAGCGAACTCGCACGTTGGGAAAGACAAAGAAGGGAGGCCCAGGAGCCAACAAACCACGACCAGGCAGCCATGGCGTGGGCGGACCTGGAACAGCAATGAATGTCAACAGAGCCAGAGACATTGGTGACTCAGCTCGGATGCTTATGGATCGGAGAAAGCGATGGGAGAATTGCATCGGACCCGTCTTCAAGGACATGAATCATGGCATTCCACCTCAGGGCAGTACTTTATGGGATCCAAAGATCATGGAAGCTTATGAAAAAGCCGAGATGGAAGCCCTTGAAGAAGAAGCAGATTGAGACAAAGGGACTCGAGCTCTTTTTCTATTCTTGCGGGAAATCGCAGACGACGAGACAAGCGTGATTATCATTTAAACGGTCACGAGGCATCACGTGTGTCATCACGTGATAGCACTCGTTACAACGATGGCAAGACGACAGCGCTATTGAAGGGTTGACTGGCTTGGATTGGCCCTGCGTTCACTGTCAGCAGTTTTGCTTCTTGAACGCTCAAAGGGAACAGGCGAACAAAGGCGCTTGGCTTTGTGCCTGCAGTCGAATCAAACTTGGCCGAGAACAATGGTGCTCCGGATCCGGCAGGAAAGCATAATGTACGCTGTTACAGCATTGACGGGCTGAAAGAAATTCAATGGCCTTATTCCCGCTATTTTCCAACCTTTCTTGACTCACACTCCAGCTTGATGAGATTCCATCACTGGCTCCTTGCGTTTTCTTCAGTCACCCCAGACCCACGGCAAAGAGCTAATCCTGTTTTGGGTGCCAGCCACATTGCGGCAACATGGCGTTGGATGACTTTCTTGTGGACTGGGACCCAAATGCCGATCAATCATTCTTCAGTGAACCTGAGCAGCGCAACCCTGTGGCCGAATCACCCATCAAGCACTTTTTCACCTGGAAGGAGGAAACCAGATCGACACCCTGGTCGAGATCCATTGGTGAGAGGTTTCGGCATCTTTTCTTCTCTAATCTCGATCTTCCCGATGAAAACGAATGGCGCTTTGAAAGACCGCTGGGCAAGGTATGTCCCCTGAAAACATTCTATCCTGCACCAGAATGATCGCTTTGCCTTCCTTTGCACACAGATCAGACTACTAATACGATTTTTTTTTGGAGGAGTGTTAGGGGGCGTTTGGTGCGGCAGCCCTGTTTTTCAAACGGAATGAGAGGCAAGAAAAAATAGATGTAAGTACTATATTTCAGGAAAAACCTTCCCGGATATCAGACTCACAAGGTCCTGCATTAGGCACTCGCATTGAAAGTCACGGATTTCAATCCATCCGATTTCGTTCCAGCCCCAGGGAAGCAGATGACGTTGACTCACGAAGCAGCCATCATGGCGCAAACCAACGATCTCGAGTCTGATAGCCTTGTGCGCCTCCGTCAGTATAAAGTCGACCTGCAATACAACCGATACTATATTGAATACTGTGAATTTGGCACGTTGGAGACACTCCGGCTGAGATATAAAGCATGGAAGTAAGCTTCGTCCCGACTTCCTGTTGCCGTCGTATATTCTGATGAGGAATCTGCAGTAAATACCTTCCTGAAGCTTTCTTGTGGCATACCTTCTACTACCTGGCAAAGGCCTATCTTGACTTTTGCACTGGTTCATATAGGAGTCTGCTCTCTTCAGATTTTGGGCAGGCGCCGCCTGGAGAGTATCTTCTGCATAACGACATAAAGACGGACAACATCTTTTTGGCCATGAATACTGACGAAGATGACGGGACCTTTTGGTATCCTATACCAAAGATAGGTGATTTTGGCTTGGCCATGACCATTAATCCTGATGAACTCGTAAGGGGTACGGCCGCAGCAATACAACGCGGCACTGAACTTTGGCAGCCACCAGTAAGTCCTAATCTTCTCAGTATCAGTGTATTCTCGTATTTACCAAACCCAGGAACAACGCATCAAATATATGACGGCTTGGCACCGGTATCATTTCGGGGACGACGTCGATCCTCGATTTCCTCCGAACACAAACCCAGCCCTGCGTCGAATCCGTCCAGAAGCAAACATCTGGGCCATTGGTGCCGTCATGTGGAGTTTGATGACCCTGGAGGAGATAGATGAACTCAGTGACAGAGTCATCGATATCCTGATGGGCGAAGGACCTGCCTGGCTTACTTTCGGCGGGACAAATGTCCTCGACAGAGCCGACCCCGAAATCAGGAAACGCTATAGCCCTGAACTCTTTGAGCTCATCCAGGAATGCACGAGTTTGAGACCAGGCAGTCGACCGCCCCCAAGCCGCCTGCTTCAGGATGTTCTCGCTAACATGGAAAAGTGCTTTGAGCAGGAGGAAGAGATGTTCAGGCATACGAACGACCGGGCGCCAATCACTGTGGCCTTTGCCCAAGACCACTTCAATGACCTTCCAGACGGTGGTGCAAATCTCAACAGACAATGTGTTTTTTGGGACGATTTCGCGGATCACCTCCTCTGGGACAAGAAAGAATGGGACTTTGTGTGCCCGCCAGCAGCACCACGCGAACTAAATTTTGACGACAGCTGGCCGAGACAAATACGCGAGAGACTAGAAGAGAGGTGGAAAGAAGCAGTGCTGAGGAGAGATAGAGGGGCTGCTCAAAACAACGATGGAGGAGGGAAGCTGTCTGGTCAACAAGAAACGCTTCCAAGAGCGTCTGGGGGCTTAGCAACCCGGTCTCATGATCAACGTATTCCAGAACCACAAGGGGAGAGGCCTCGAAAGCGCATGACGTGGTGACGGGTGCAGAATCGGAATCGAAATGGCAGTTATTGTACTTTTCTTACCGGGCGCCTGCCACCAATTGCCTCACCGTCTGCTCACTCATCAGAGCCTGTTATTGTCTATGGGATTCGGACCAGCCACATCGATTCATTGACGCACTATCCTCTGGGTTTTCTGATACCATCTCCACCCGTTTTCGCTCACAATCGAAGACACCAGTGACGAGGACTTGAGCAGCTTACGTCAGTTTGTTCGATGATAGCTGATAGGAGCAGCAAGTACGCGGGACAACGTGCATGTCTACGCGAGCAGCTTCTAGTTTGTATCGTGCAAGTGCGTCTAGATCAACAGCAGACACCAGTTTGGAAGAGGATGCCGTGCCAGACATCTATGTTTGGGTGCTTTTATTTTTATGGCAGTATGATGCTTCTTGACTGTGGTGAAGACAACATTGCAGGTTATTAATGACCGATTTTGCATCCTGCAGTCGGAAATTATGCTTTGCAGACTTTCTCTATGTGTTTGGAGCCTCGACCCCTTTTTTCCATGTCTACTACGTTGAGCCTGAAGGATCAATTTTCAAGTTCAGTCGCGAGAAGTCCCCAAGAGCAGGTATGCATGCTGCAATGGCCGCGATGCTTTTGCGCTGCTTGTTTACGGCATATCAGCCTTGTTTTTATGGACCGTTCATGGCCTGATCTCCAATTATATGATCGCCCGAAAGATAGGCCTCGCCGTTATCCTGACACCAGTGGACGCATTCAACTCGTTATGGGTGTTTGCGAGACCAAGCATTGGTCCGTTCATTCGGCGGCTTCCTTTTGGATTAGGAAAATCCGCTACGTACAGCTATCTCCGGTGGCCCTTGGGACCACAGATATCAAGTGCACCACCAGTATGGAGAGACCTTCATCGTCATCACCCCTGGAGAATGCCAGTTAGTTGTTAATAGACATGGTAAAAAGTCGGAATGGCCGCAACTCCATTGACCATGGACCCCCTACAATGTTGCCATATCGACTCATTTGTGATTTTCCTTTGGCGCAGGTTCAATTCTACGAAAGACGAGACGGCAAGGCTTCTGACCCTTGGACGAGATTCGAAATCACGGCTGCAGACCTGACAGCAGCATTGAAAGCTCAAAATGACACAGTTCCCAGGCAAGGAGATATTGTCCTGGTTCGGTCGGGCTATGTTCAGCGACACAACCAGGCGTCAGAGGCTTGTTGTTCATAGAGACAGCAGATATTCTGACAAGTGCGTAAATCTGGGTTGTAGGATGCACCGGTGAGACCAACTCTCGTTGATATCTCGACAGAGTTCTATGGTTCGACAGCTGCTCAACACCCTATCTTCTCCATCTCTATACAACATATTGATCCTCATTACCGAGTCTGCCACATGCCAATTCCATCACTGCGCAATTTTCGCGTCCATTCTAAGCTTTCAACTCTGTCCTTTCAGTGCTTCACTGTCTCGCCGCTGTGATCTGCCGTCTTGGGGTCTTTGGTCTTGGTGTTTGTGAAGGACAATTCTTCTCCGTTGGCATCTTCCAAATATCCCATTTCCTTCCTAACATGGATCGGAACCACAACGTTTTCCTCCTTATAGTACTGGGTGGCAGTGGTGTAATTCTTGACGACGAACCACAAGATGGGCCAGCAGATTGTGGTCAGGGCAAAGATTGCCGCTCCTTCGTTGCTATATGGTTGGGCTGTAGCGTCGGTTGCAAAGCTGACGCAGGTTCCGGCGGAGATCCCTAGAGGCGGAGGTTAAGATTAACTCGTTCTTTGTTGACGACAATGGTTCCTATCAGATTAACACTTACAGGCAATAAATAGTCCCGAGATGCGGGCGGTCTTCTCGAGTCGATTGGTCAAGCATCCAAAGACGTAGATTACCGTGTTTTGGAAGACCCCGTACTGGATGACCATGAGAAAGTATAGCACCACGGCACCCGGGTACGCATCATCCTCGATGTCGATTTCTGGCCCTGCGAGAGAGCGATCGAAGCTCCAGCTATGGAGCCAAATGGTCAGCGCGATGTAGGTCCCGGTAATGTACGTGGCCAGAATGCCGATCCCGATTATTGCTCTCTTCCGCCTGGATCCCAACTTTGGATTGTCGAGTAGCCAGCCATAGCCCAGAGTCCACGGAATCTGAATGGCATTTCCGAGCATGGCATTCAACGTACGAGTACGGAGATTGAACGCGTAAGCGTTGACTGATGCCATGAATGGGAAGAAGATTTCCGGGGCGAAGAATGTGGGGATTAGAAGTAGCATGACTGGGTCTTTCAGGAGGGCCACAGTTTGATAGACGTCTTGCCAGGCTGAGAGATGTTCGTATTTGGCGATGGCGGTGCCGTCGTTCCTTCGAAGCTTGTCGGCATCGACGAGGATGAATGCAAGAGCCATCGAAGCATATTGAATGATGATGAAAGTGATGTAGACCGAATGGGGAACCCCCAGCGAGTGGGCTAGAAAATCAAGTATAAAGACGATCAGGGCCAGATGGAGTTCCAGGGTGTCTTACCGTTCCAGTTGATCCTAGACAGTGGTCATGAATTAGTCTTGTGGTTGGGGCACTGGCAACCGTGGGCGATCCAACTCACTTACCCAAGAGCGATACATCCGCCTTCTGTAGCACCGCCGACATTGCTAGTCCACTGCATGGCACGCCAAAATCCTGGTTGCTTCTCTTCGGAATAGCCATTGGCAATGAGAGCGGCGGTGGTCCAAAGAAATGCGGCCGTAATTCCCAGGTAAATGCCTGCAACCGCAGGATACCAAGGGTGTCCGTGGGTATCAAAATACCACATGGCGCCTGCCACTGTCAGTTCATGCATCATTCCTCGACGGCGGCACAAGCCCCTCACCGATATAGATAGGGTATCCAGATGGCGATGATGATGGTATATCGAGGTCCGAGCTTGCTAAGCACCGTCGGGGCGATGACTCCAGCCAACACAAATGCAGCGTACAGCAGGGCGTTGCTGATGTTGGCCATCTGGATTGAACTAGGACGACCACCTCCTGCTCCGAGGGTCTAGAGATGTTGGAAGACAACCCTTGACGGGAAGAAGGTGCTGTGGAGGCTTACCGCAATGGCCAGGTACAGTCCAGGATTGCAAAAGAGTGTTGCGCTGAGGATGAGATTCTGTACAAAGGGACTATGATTCACCTTGGTCAGATGAGGTCTTTTAGGCACCGGCCGTGAACTTACTTGTTCCTTCTCCATGGTGTTAGGTGGGCATCTTCCAGGACTGCACTATTGACAGGGGCGATTTCGACCGACATGTTGATTTCTCAAGGACAAAGGATGTAATGGGGGTAGGAAACCTTTCAATTCTGTGATCATGGAACTCATGGGAGACCTTTGCAGGCAGGTTGATCACGATATATCTCTCTCAATGACCGCTTTATCAATTGCCATATCTATGTATCGCGCCGCGCCCCCGATATCTAGGGCTTCGAATGCTCTCCATTGCACAGACCTTTGGCGGGCTGCTAGAATCTCTGCTCCACTCTGGTTGTCCTAAGTCTAAGAAGAAAAGTACGAGGACTCTGGAACCGTGGGACCCGAGGAGCCGAAGTTATCCATATCGAATGAAGTCGCCCAAGATTTGGTGGGTGGAGCCGGTGGGGCGAACTCGTCCTACTTGATTCGCCTGCCCCGGTCTCTGGGGTTCCCGTGCCCCTGCCGCGCCCCAGCCTTATCTCAGATTGGGAAGAGGGAACCTTAGAGGCAAGGAGTGCGCTTACAGAACATTTATAAGACTATCAAGGTCTGGAACAAATTCGGCACAGTAGTAGCACAAGAACACCGGCCAAAATGTCGACCGTCGATGTGCCTCCGGCCGATTACCCCCCAGAAATTACTGGTTATGTCGAGCCGTGGATTGCTGACCCTGGTGACACCATTCAGGTGAAGGTATGTCCAGGGCGTTGATGTACCACATTCGCCCAAGAAAGAGCTAGAAGAAATCGCCGTGCCTCAAGGAATTGCCAAAGGAAGATTTCAACTCGCCCGCATTGGCTCTTACGCTCTCGTTGAGCAATGGTGCAGACTCCCTCCTCAACATGGGCTATCGCTCTCTGTGTACTTCCAACCGTAGTTGACCCAGGCCGGACATTTACAGTCAATTGTGTCCACGCTCGACGTACCGTCAAAGAGTGGGTTTGGCCTTTTCATCAACACTGATGGTATCGTGGAGTTTTGGGTCGGTGCAGGCTCATCAATCGAGGTATTTTTGACAGGATTCAAGCCCTCACGAAAACGATGGGTGAAGGCCAAGTTGGACATCAGAAGAATGCGAGTTTCTTTGGATTTAGAGCCCATCCCACATGTCGTTGAGAAGAGAGCTTCAGGCATGCACTACGAAGCATCTTTGCCCAATGATTTCAGCATCTCACCCGACTGCGCTCTGCTGTTTGCTGGAACTTTTGCTGAGACTGTGACGACTCAAAGTCCTCGAGTCACCCATTTCTTTAACGGCCGTATCGACAGCCCTTCAATCACGACGGTGGGACCCGAAGGCGGTGTGATCGTTCACTATGACTTTGCCCGCAATATCTCGGAAGACTCAATAATCGACACGTCTGGGGGAGGTCATCATGGACGGCTCATCAATGCTCCAACGAGAGGAGTTCGAGGATACAATTGGGATGCTTCTGAGATTGACTGGACCAAAGCCAAATACGGCTATGGTGCCATCCATTTCCACGAAGATGATCTGGACGATGCCAAATGGGAGACGGATTTTACGGTAACACTGCCCTCAGATATCCGTTCCGGCATATACGCCGTTGAAGTCCAGTCAACCAATGGCAAGACTTCAGACATGATCACTTTCATAGTCCGCCCGACGGCAACAGCATCCTTACATGACCCTGGGAAACCTAAGGTGGGCTTAGTTCTGTCGACATTTACCTACCTTGCGTACGCCAATGACAAACTATCTGATCCCGAGCGGCCCTCTTCCAGTGCGACCGGAGCGGCGTTGTGCGAAGTCACTCTCTATCCGTCCGAAGACATGAGCAGACAACTCAGACGACGTGATATCGGATTGTCTACCTACGACACGCATAACGATCTATCTGGAACCGTCTTCTCCACTGCAAAGCGCCCCATCACGAATTTCAGGCCGGGATTCATTTCTTATGGTTTGGCGCGTCCTCGTCATATCAGCACCGAGTCAATGATGATAGGATACCTGGAGCGGGAAAACATCCCCTACGGGACCATCACCGACCATAACCTCCACAAATATGGCGCGTCGGCTCTCGCGCCCTACAACACCGTCATAACCGGCGGGCATCCGGAGTATCTGAGTTTCGAGATTTACGACGCCTACGAAAATTACGCGAAACAAGGCGGCAATTTGATGTATCTCGGCGGGAAAGGGAGGAGCGGTTTTCTCAGTGGGGAGCATCAACTGGTATCCGTCCTTGGGATGGAACGACTACCAAAACAATGTGGCCAGGCTGACCGGCAATGTCATCAAGGAGTTCTTGAGAAGAGAAGTATCACGGTCCATGGCCATGTGCTAGGTGACCCGCGCGAGGCTGACGCCTACTTCTACCACGTTCACGGCCTTTACCACTAGTTAGACTCTTCCGTCTCAGAATTCATATCATAATTGCACCCTCGACAGCCGAGATCACTCCTGTTCCAGGTTGCGCAGTGATAAGAAGGGATGAAACCATAAGCGCTCCGTCGAGCTCTACTGTTGCCCAAATAATGAAAAGAGCTGTCCGTGATTTTTCCTTCAAGCTGCCGAGCCACTTGCATGTTCGAACTCCAGCAAGGAGAAAATCTGTGTCTGCTCCAGTCTTGGTGGGTGGCATTCCACATGCGCGCTGCGAATGGCTTTGGAATAAGACGAGGTGCCAAGTGTATGCTCGAGGAAGTATTTGATTCTATTTGGTAGATTTGGATTTCAATAGGTCAGTACAAGGCGCACGTCGCAGTGGCCGCACCTGTGAAAATCAATTACCCTCATAGTCTAGATCTGCTGAGAGCTTGAATCACTTCTTTCGCCCCCCTTTCGCCCGATCTGACGGCTCCGTCTAGGTAGCCTTTCCATTCGAAAGCAGTCTCGGTCCCCACAAAATGAGCCCGCAGGTGAGGAGTTCTCAAGGCATGACCGTGGTTCGTCATCGCCCCGGGAGGAGCGGCTGGACAAGGGCAACCCTGAGACCACTGATCTTGGATCCACGGGTGGTCCGTAATGGCCAGAGGCTCGGGGATTGTTTTGGTGAAGGGACCAAAGACTCGTCTGACAAAGGACAGCACAGCATCGTGGCGCTCTTTTCGAGCCAGGGCTAGCAAGTCCCGACCTGGCTTGCCTCCGGCGAAGCAGGTCAAGGAGTAGTTGCCCGTCTCTTCAATACTGGAGTCGCGAGTGACGCACACCGGGCCTTGGAAGGATTGAACCATACCGCAGAGCCCACTGGCTCGCCACCAAGGCTCGGCGTAGAGAAGCATCACCTTGAATGTACAGCCCAGCTTGTTGGCTTGACTGAGTTGTTCTTTCGCCTTTGGCAGCGGAGGCTCGAAGGTAATTTCTTTGTACAAGGGCGTCGGTACCGAAACAATGACTCGTCGACCATGAATCTCGCCTCTCCCGGTGGACACGAGAATTGCTTCCGGGGCCTGCTCAATCCGGCGAACGGGGGAGTTCAAGACGATGGACCCCGGAGCGAGGGATTCTGCGAGTCCAACAGAGAGGGCTTGGGTGCCTAACCTTTGTTAGCCTCACCTTATCGGGTCCAGAGATGTCGGTCTCATGAGCTCTTTGGAAGGAAATTGCTTACCTTGCGCCAGTTTGTAGTATTGGCCTCCGTTCTTTTTGTCGGACCGCATCTGCATCAGCCCGCCACCGCTTTTGCAATAATCAAGGAAGAAGAGCGTGCTGATTTCAGAGGGTTCGAGTCCGAGCATGACGCGGGTCCAGACCCTCACCGATGCCAGTGCCGTCTCACCTCCTCCCTGCATTTTCACCCACTGTTCCAAGTTGTAGGTGTCGAAGTCCTTGCCTGCGCCGGTGGGGTTGCGAATGTCAATCGTCTGACAAGTGTGCTCGAACAAATCACGAATGTATACCATGTTTTCGACCCCATTTTTCTCAGCAAGGTCCTGTTAACTTAGGTCAGTATCAACACGGCAACTTTGCAGCCTCGCGGGCGCGGAGCGTACTCTCGGGTTGGTGCCGTATTTGAAGGTCGAGAGCCCTCCCCCGATGTCGTCCTGAATAACATCCCCTTCAACATACTGCTGGACCAGCTTAAGTCCCAACGACTTTGCGAGATCGTATACCTTGGCCTGGTTAGTATCATTGATCCAGCATGCCCCGACATCCACATTTCTGCCATTGCCGAGGGGGTCGTGAGACCACGTCTTGCCGCCAACTCTGTCTCGTGCCTCGACCACAAGGCACGAATATCCCGCCTTCTGGACATCACTGGCAGCCTTGAGGCCGCTCAATCCAGCCCCTACCACCACAACATCAACCGTCCGAGGGAGCTCCAATCGAACAGCAGCGTACGCCTCGATCTCGAATTTGAGGCCGGGCTCCGCCAAGCACGGGACGGGCACCAACGTGGTCGCAGGGCTGTGACCGTCCAGAAACTTGATCAAGTGCGGACGGTAGAGGCGGTGGTTGGGATCGAAATCGACGACATACCACACAAGCTTGTAGACGTCTTTTACCACGGCGCCTGCAGCCGCAAGAGCGCGTTCGAGGTTGGTGAATGCTTGCACAATCTGGGCATCCGTGTCCGCGACTATGTTGTTGTTCTCGTCAATGCCAACCTGTCCGGATGTCGCGACGATCCGGACTGGACCGGTCGTGGTTGAGACTTGTGAGAAGACCGGACCAGGATGCCATACGCCGTGAGGATCCACGCTCCTCACAGAGGGGTTTTCTTTCTGGTAGGACATCCTCTATGCGGAACTGTTTGGTGAGCACTCCCCGAGCCTGGACAATTGGAACTGAGAGCGGGGCGGAGGGAATAGCCAAGATGGTTCGGGGCATGTCTTGCCTATAAAAGAGCTCACCCAGGAAGCATTGTCAGAGGCTGGCCGCATAGAAAATTCCTATCCAGTAATCAGTCGAGATGTGGTTGTCCCGATGGCGCTTTTGACGGAACCGACACACGCAGCCTGCTCCCAGTATTGGGTGCCTGAAGAACTGTTGAGCAGAGGTGCGCGTGGCCGACCATAGCAATTCACCAGACGATCACGGAAAGTGGCACACAGTACTGGGTACTCATGCTCCACCACCCACAAGTCGTTCATTTGGAATGAATTTGGCTGCCCAGGAGAGCGAGGCTATCTTCTCGGCTCCTCGGCTGCCCGGCTGCCACCTTGACCCACTGATCTGCCAACCAGTCTGGGGAAGCGAGGAGGCGAAGGTTCTTTCTTCTCCTACCCTTTTGATGCTGGCCTGGTTCCGGTCCTGGAGTAGCAGCAATGGTGATGGTGATGGCAACGGCGTCCGAGATGGTTGACAGTATATCGACTCCTCCCACGGCTCAGCCGACACGTCGGCGAAGACAATTGCGAGCCTGTGACGCATGCCATCGCAGGAAAGTCCGCTGCGACGCAGTCGGCCGCCAGCCATGCTCCAACTGTCAGTCGGATGGAAGTAGATGCCAGTGAGTCCTCATCGTTCCCAATTCCACGTCAATTGGTTGTCGGACTCACGTTCTCCTCCCGCACTGTTCAGATTCGATATCGTGAAAGCCTTGTCCTTGAAGAACAGGGCCCAACATGACAGAGCCTTGAGGCGCCATCAGGATCAGGCTGTGTCAGGACAGGCCAATTCGGCCGGCAAGGGACATGCCGCATGTGACAAACCTGACACACCTGTCACTGGCCCAACCGGCTCCGAAACGAGGTCGAATGATGCCGCCGCCGATGACTTGAGTGGGAACGGACTGCTGGAATTCTTCCAGCATGGCACCAGCGCCGAGTCCTGGTCTCGGTTCGACAGCCTTAAAGAAGCTCGCATGTGCTACGTGGGGACTCCGATATCCAACCTAGCATACCTCGTCAGTCAAGAACGATGTGGCGACGACACCAACCTGCACTTCCCCATCCCCCAAATTCACCGGGCAGTGTCGTGGACCATTGGCTCCAGCCTGCCCTCACTCCGGCTCCGCCAGCCCGTGGAATCGGACTTGAGCTCATTGCCAGTCAAAGAAGTGCGAGATGCTCTGATCGAAGCATTCTTCCGCGACATTTACCCCATCTTCCCCATTTTGGACGAGGCTGAATGGCAACACCACTGTGCGAGCCCGGACTCGCCGCCTCCACTTTTACTGTACCAGGCCATCCTTCTAGCCGGTGCTCACCGAGGAGGATCTCCTGGAGACTAACGGGTCGAAAAACACAAACATCAACCTCCAGTACTGTGTGCGCAACAGCCACCTCTGTGAAATCATAGCCGACATCCTGTACGCCTTCTCACCTGGCTCCGTTCGAACCTCTGGCAACCTGCAGGACACCAGCGTCCTGGACTCGCGGCTGGCCACCTGGGTCAGGACCCTCCCGCCGGGGAACGACTTCTATACCCTGCAGCTGCGCCTCCACTACAACACCGCTCTCCTGCACCTCCATCGGACGGTCCTTCAAGAATCCAAGGCCCCGATTGCGACCCTGACCCATTCCGCCAAACTGTGCGAGAGTGCCGCCGAAACCTCGGTGGGCATCCTTTCGTCCCTGATCCAGTCCGGCACAATCCGACGCTGTTACTTCACCGCGTCAACCGCCGTCATGGCCGCGGCGATACAATTCATCCGGGAAATGCGCTCAGCCATTGCGCAGAACTCGTCGCTGCTGGCGCTCCAGGCACAGGACCGGTTGGAGGGCTGTTTCCCCGTCATGAACGAGCTGACACGCTACTGGCCCGCGACCAGTGCGACGCTCAAGTTGTTCCAGCACGTCTCGGAAACGACAAAGCCCATGATGGACTCGCATTTCAACAATCAAGTTTCGCGCGTCTCTTCTGACGCTGCTGCCGTGAATGCTTCATGTCAAGACCTCGGGCCGGAAAATTGGAATTCCATGTTTTCCAATCTCTATACCATTGCTCCAGAGCCGGACTGGTCCAACATCGAGTCCTGGTTTGAGGTCTAACCGTATAGCGTGGGGTTGGGGGGGGGGGGGGGGGGGGGGGGGGGGGGGGGGGGGGCCGTTGAATGGGCGAGTGCCCTCGAGACTCGATCTGGTTCCAGACCGGCACCATGTTTTCTCGATGGACTGTATAATTGGGAGGAGCATATCAAACAAAGAGAACATCTGCCAATGTGGGAAAACATTTGTCTATTCTATACCCAGGATGCTCCGACATCAGCGAAGCTTGCTAGAAGCCTAATAATTCTAGAATCACGGAGCGGAGCTAGCAGCGAATCTCATAAGGGTCCGAAGCTTACGTAGGGACCACCACCTCTTCGCCTCACCACTGCTTCAAGTACAGAAGGGAAGTACAGAAGGGCATGTATCCACAACGTGCGGAGGACCACCAAACACTTGCCGTTCGTGAGGCTGCTTTCTCGAAATCTGGTTCATTACCGCTTCCAGAACCCGGTTCAGCTCTGTTAGAGGGAATCATTAGAAGGATGCTTCCGGTTGGACACTCATAAATTTCCGAGACGGTCGAGTGAGTCCCAATATAGCTCAATTTTCGAGCCTCACATAGATGTTTGAAGACAACAACGTAAGATTGAAAGTAAGAGACAATACTTAACCCGTGACATGCTTGGATGAATGGTCAAAAGAAAGTAAAATGGTGATTGGCCTTGTCTGAGAGAGGCCTACACCATGGGAGGCATCTCGTGTTCATGAATCCGTCTCGAGCGGGGTCGCACCATGTACTTGCTATCTGTTATCCTTCTTTCCACATGCAGAGACCATGGCGACAATCCTCCATCAGACCTTGTCGTTACAATGGAAAGATATCTTTCCGTGACCTCCTGGGACCCACTGCAATACTGCAGCCCTGAAGAGCTGTCCCGTCTCGACGAGAGATTCGATTACGCATTGCGAGACATCACCTGTCTAGTCTTTTGGACAGGAATATCCCCAGACCGGGCTCGGTGCTGGGCACAGCAGCATGGCCTGCCAACATTAACTATTGCGATGGGTCCCCTATATAGCGATCGTGAGGCAGGTAGTCTGAGGCATAGCAAGTCACTAAAGGCGTGGTCCAAGTACATGAAGGCGGCCTCCGGCCGATTTGCAGAATATGCGTGTCGTAGTGGCCGGCAAGCAGTTGTACTGACGAACCCCCCACCGGACATCTACAGCACGAGAGAACGGTCCAACTATCGCGATCTAGAAGAGCCGATCTTGAAAGGTGCTTCAGGAGGACCTGGTACCACCCGGATCGAGTATGTCCATCCTTTGGTCGTGGGTGCGGCAACCTTTCAATATCAAATCTGGCCCCTCGACAACACGAGCGCGTGGTATACATTCTTCAAGAACCTCCTGGCAAAGGGCCGTATAACTCGGGACAGCTTCGACATATCCGTTAAGAATCAGGTCGCCGTCAAGGCGGATCAGATACCGGGCGGGGTAGTGCAACTCCGGGATAGCGCACAGCTTCCAAACGAGACAAAACTCCTTGAGACACAAACACAGGCAGAAACAGTGCAAAACAGGGCCCAGGAAAAGAAAGAGGCCAAGCGAAAGCGGGTCGAGCTGGAGCACCAGATAGCACGTGACAAGAAAGAAGCCAAGCGAAGACGGCACGCGTTGGAGCTGCAAATAGCTCAAGAGAAGAAGGAAGCCAAGCGAAAGCGGCACGCGTTGGAGCTGCAAAT